TCCTTTTCTCCCAATAGTTCAATAAAAGTCCTGTGGTCAACTCCTCTTTCAACAGCTTAGGTCACATGACCATCCTTAATATAGTCATGGTAGCCGGAAGAATGGGCTTTGCCAATGGTCCAGACCAGGATTAACCCCATACGTGGAGTCTGGAAGTGGCATGAAGAACCCCCAGACCATGAGGACTTAGGGTAAAGAAGAATGTCACAGCTTGCCAAAAGAAAATCAGGACACTGTTATCAAAGGAAGGTGATTGAATGGGCAGCAAAAACAACAGATCTTTTCAACCCAACTTGAATCTTTTTTTCAGTCATTAAGAAGTCATTTTGTTCAGAGTGTTCACTTCACCCACAATTAATGATACTAATTTGCTACTATAAACTTAGCGGAAAACTCAAAATGTCTCATAAATCACTGTATATTATTTTGTTTTCTACAGGTATACATAAGGCAAATTTTATAGGTCAAAGTCATTGTTATAATGCTGTAAATAATGAAGCTAAAAGTCAATATATTTAATTGGAAATATGAACACATTAACTGACCTAGAGAACAAGGGAAAAAGTATTTAGGATTTTTGTGGGCATGAAGAAAAGTGGCTGAGAAATGAGTTGTTTCCAGAGTTTTAAACATCAGTACAAATGAAATATCTTTGTAAATTTTAAACACAGCCATCACAAGTCACCTTAGATTTTAGAACATGTCTTCAGCACCTGACTGGGTTGGTGAAATTATGTTACACGTAATTCAGCCCTGAAGATTCTGTAGTTTGTTTATTCTGATAAAACGGAATGTGAGTGACTGAGATTCCAAAACCTGGCAACTCCCCCAATATTACCAAAACTGAGGAAAATTCAGAGCATGAAATCTTGTGTTTATGAGTGATCAGTTTATCTGAATTCTTGTTTTTCAGACTCTAAGCAATTATGCTGTCAGCTCAGGGAATGTGGCTCCTGAAATCTTAAAATCAGCAGCAGGCATGGTCCCCTTCAAATGAGAATGCGTTACTCTGGTGGATTATAATAACAGTGTCCATTCATTCTTCCTATCTATCTTTGCCAGGTAAATAAGGGGTCGGTTTATGACCTGGACACAGAATGGAGTTAGTTGAAAATTTAGTGGACAAGTGAAAATGTTTGTGAATAATATTTTTCTCTCAATCATTTGCAAAGCTATGGAAAAATTCCAACATGCAAAAATTCATCAGTTTGAGATGAGTCAATCTGTGAACATGTGATAGAAAGTGACATGCAATTAAAATTTAAATTTAAATCCCATAAGATTTTTCAAATTGCAAACACTATGGTTGTTAAAAATGTTACAGGATGCTAATTAATGGCATTGGACTTCAAAATTTCTACCCTGCTAATAAAACAGTTATTAGATGCCAAATCTTATTCCACAGGCAACAGCTATACCAAGGAAGGAAAGGAAACGTACCTCCTGAAAGCCACAAACTTCGCATCTTGTTTTATTACCAACCTCATTATACAGATGAGGAAATTGAGGATCAGGAAGAATAAGAAATTTGGCTAAGGTCATATGGAAATTTACAGACCTGAGATACGAACCAAGGTCCAGCTGGCTTGCTAGTCTATCTCCTTTGTGCCACACCATGTCACATCAAGGAGCATTAAGCACTGCTCTTCCATTGTTCTTTGCAAGAGGGAAACTCAGTTTCTGTACGATAATACTTGTCACTGTATAAATTAACCTCAGATATGTTACTTTTCCCGTATATCTATAAACATTTTAGACTCATTTGTTACACTTTTTTGTATGAGTGTGTATGTATGTCTGTCTTTAACAGCAGTGAATTATTCAAATAAATTGACCCTTTAAATCTGACAATTCTGATCTAATTCTATAGGAGACATCATATAGTAAGTCCTATTATAACTGACACATTATCATTCTAGGATATTCCATGTTATGATTTACTGTCACTTTTTAATTAAGTCAATACACAGGTGACGTTTTTTGAAGTCTATTACTACGTAAACAGATATTATTGAAAATTTGTCACAAATATATTCAAGCAGAATATGATGCAAGTCTTATGTATTTTGCTTTGCTTAGCTCTGCCACATTTAAATGACCACTTTATGGAAAATTTGATTGACATTAGAGTTAAGTTTATTTGATTTACAGCTCACCAAATCTAACACTTCTACATTCGGCGAATTCTTTTTTCTAACCAGTGCACTTGGAGCTGACTACCTATTAATTGACCCTAAAAAGGGATGTCAGATTTAATCCTGAGACATCGTGTTTTACTCTACAACCTCTCTGACTTATGGCGCCGTGTCCATATTTTCCTTTCCCTCAAGCCATTTCCATTTTGCAGAATTCAATTTCTGGCTTAAGCCCATCTTTCAGAGGAATGAGGTCACTCAAATATCATTTGCCAGATCTCTCCACCAAAGGACAATAACCAAGGGCTGAATGGAAACGCTCACACAAAGCCAGATTAGAATTTGCGCTAATGAGACCGCAGTATTGGTTACAACGATGCTATCTCTCAAAGGCAGCATAGTTACCGTAAATGCTCAGTCATCTTCTCCTCGTCAGCTCTCTTGGGCAGACCCAGAGACTCCGACTCTAGATTTGACCTTGTTTCCAAGAGCTTTGTTTTTCTTACCACTTGAAGTGGCCTGTGCAGGTTCTGAAAATTAAGGCATAACATTAGAAAAAATTGGACGTCTCTGACTACAACTACTTTCAGTGCAACCCATTGTCCCATATTATTCAGTTTTATCACAGTTGTGATGTATTTTAGAGATACTTCAGCAGACAGAAAATAATTGGACTCGAAAGCGGAGACCTAAATTTTAGCTCTCCATTTACTTATTTGGTTTTGCTTAAGTCAGTGAAGTTCTCTGCCCTTTGTTCATTGTTAACAATTGGAAAAGAAATAATAATTATACCTGCCAAACTTACCTCAGACATGTGAAAGTGCTGCATAAACTATAAATGATGAAGACCTACAAAACGCGAATTATTGTTATGTTTATGTTATACTAGGAAAAAAACCTTCAACGTTCTAATAAGGACAAATATGCAGTGACAACACTCATATCAGTATGAAGAGTATGATAAGCCAAATTAATCTTTCCTTGATGTGCGTATCAGGAAGGAGTACCAAGTAGGTATTTTTGTACAATCCGAATAGGCGTAACTCCCATGAAATTTTACTTTTCATGGAAACTTTGACCATATTAATCTTGGCAGAGTTTGAGTAATATTTTTGGAACTCTGAAAGGACTCTTTCATTTTAGTTCCCAAGAAAGGCTTTATTTTTACTCACTGTATTAGGGAAATCCAAAAAGGAAAAAAAAAAGCCCCGTCATGCTTCTGATAATACTTCATGGAAATAAAACAGCAGAGTCAGAAGAGTCCCCTCAGATATCACCTTTACCATAACCATCACCTATATATGAAAATGAGCCTTTCAACCTTCATTCATTGGTCGTTCATTTTATACTTAGTAATTTCATAAATTCATGTTTGCACAATACATTAATAAATCGAGATTTTTGCCTTTAAGCAATTTTCATGCGAAGTGATTTTATCTCTCTTAGCATGACAGTGAGTCAGACTCCCTCGGCTGTTTTCTACTTCTAAAACTCCTAACTTTGATAAAGTCCAACGACTCTTTCAGTCTACCGCAGCAGTGACCTAGTGTGAATGCTACGCGGGCTTGCTGGAAGAGTTAATTGACTTCAAGGCTGGATAATGGGCCCCGGGAAGCTAAACGACTTGAGAAAAATCATCTTGCGTTACTTGATCACTTTGTACTTACTATTCCACTCACAGGAAGACTTCAGGAGGCAGCGGGGGCTTCTTTTATTCTTAATAGTAGAAATGAAGTTGGGAACGTTGAAGGATTAAGAAGTACTAAAACTGAGACTCAGCACCCTCGGAGTATGGGGAAAGCAAAAGTCATTCTTATCCTTGAAAATTACCTCTAAGTGGTTTTGCCAAAACAAGTCTCTGTAACAGTAGGAAATTGTCGAGGCTCCAATTAGTGAATCCCTAAGCCCCAAAGTTAATTATGTGAGTAATGAAAAGTGGTGGAAAACTCTGACTCCCAGGAAGGGGCAGAATCAGATCAGTCATTAGCCCCACTGGGTGTGTAGAGGGATTAGGATCCACCATAAAAATAAATGTTTGTGCTCCCCACTAAGATGGAATAAAAACCATTTAATGATTATTATTGTTAGATAAGTTTCAGTAATTTTCTGGAGCAATAAAAGACAGCAAGGAACACTGAATGCTATTCCTCTTAAAATGGTCCCTCCATTCTTATGCGCTATAAACGAAAATATAAATATATGTTTAAGATATTAGTGAAAAGGAAAGGATAAAAAAAATGATTTTTCTTTGGTAGGCAAAGCCAAGAATCTCTTACTAATGTAATAAAAAAGATTTTGTCATTTAATAATTGAGAGTAATGACAACCCTCACTGAAAAGGGGAGGTCAATTTATACCAAAGATAGACAGTACACCATCAAAATATCACAAAACTAAGCATGAGTATGAAAAATAATGGTGAAAGGAGGACCACATCTATCAATAAGTTTGGTTAAGGCTTCAGACCTGAGCTACTTCCAAACCAGGATAGTTAGTAAATGAACTGGAGTTAATAAACACAGGTAGATATAATCTCAGAGAACTTAGGAAAGCCTAGGAACGCTGGCAATTTTACCCTTACATTGCAAATGAAGAAATCATTCCTTATACGGAAGGTTATTATTTTGGTTGAGGCTGCAGGAAATCCACTAAAATCTCATTTTCATTTTTCCGTAGCACTAGAGTTGTTGCTGGGTTCATAACTGCCCAATCAGATACCAAATTTCCAAGTCTCCTTTGCATATCAGTGTACCTCTGTGACTAAGTTCTTCACAAAACAACGAGGATGAAGTGATGCTTACCACTCTGGGTCTTGGCCTTAAAATATTGCGTAAGCATGCTTCCATACTTTTTCTCTTTCTTTCAGGCTAAAACACTGATGAATCATTGAACTAATGAGGCCAGTGTTCTATAGGATGGAAGACAAAGAAGATGGAAGGAACCTGGTTCTCTGGTTCCACATGGAGAGGAGCCACACTGCCAATCCAGACACCCACCTCAGTGCTGTCACCAGAGACAGAAACAAACTTTTAAACTTTAAATATTTAAACTTTAAATAGAGTAAACATAGTCCTGATTTTCTTAGAACGGTCCTGTCTTATGCCTGTTGTCTTGGCATAATTATAAATGGCATTCTCTTTCACTATCAAAATAAATTGCATGATAAACCTCTTTTAATTCGATGTACCATGCCACCTCTTCATATTAGCAGCTTAGATTCTCTACAACCAATATAGAAATTGGTGCCTAACATATGTGTGATTAGCAGTCCTGTGGTGGGAGGTGAGGGCAGGTCTAGATCAGCTTAGAAGACTAGAGACCCTTGTTATACACTGGTAAGAGTTGATAAAATTGTCCCCTGTGGTAACTTGAAAGGCAGACCACGTGTACCTACCAAACCTGCAGCCGTAGTGCCAGAATGTTAATCGGTGTTGGTAGTCCTTGCTGCATTTAGCAAGGTATTACAAGGAAGAAGTAACCACAGGCAAGAATTGGCAAGTTGAAAAGCAGAGATAGAACAGATGAGGTTGGAAATACCTTCTGCTTCTATATACCAAACAACAGTGGATTCATAACTGTCATTTTTCAGAGCCTTTCTCAAAGACCTACCATTAAGCAAAAAGATCAATTAAGAGTTTTACCTTGACACATAAACTCATGTTTCAGATGTCCTCAAAATAGGTGGCTTTAAAATAAGGAAGAGAGGGATGGAGTCTGGAAGCCAGCAAAGAAGGTGGGCCTAAGAGCTATGTGCAGAAAAGGGTTTGGCGTATGGTGACTGGAACCAGGGACTAACTGGAAGGAATAAAACTGCTAAGAAGTCTACTAAATTTTTGAAGTCACAAACGTGGCTTACAAATGCCTGTGACTACTTGAGCCCCATGAGGCATATACTCCACATCCACTTCAGATATTAGCATGGACCCAGTGAACAAAGAAGACCCTCCCAGATGGCACAGCCAGGGGCCCAGGAAGGTGATGATCAAGAGAGTAGCTCTGAGAGAAGCAGAACCACTGGTGGGAGGATGGACCAGCCAAGCACGCGTTCGATTGTCAAGACAGAGACTCAACACGATTCCCGCACAGTTAAGGACAGCGAATTTGCATTTTGTTCTTCCCTTTTCCCAACTGAAGCCTTATTGCAGGTATGCTCTGGCTGCTCCACCATTGTGTGGGTGTATGAGTAGAAAGGGGTGCAGCACAGATAGTTTATAGGTCACTGGACAATGAGCAGCTACCTCTGGACTAGATTAAAAAGATTGCCCATTACATCAAGAACTAGACTTTGAGCTGGGTCCAGTACAGATGGGACTTTGAGGGGTCCCCCTGGAGAACGGGTGCCTATGTCCTATGAATGGGGAAAGGAGGACACACAAATATTTGAGTGACGGTTGGAGGGGTTTGAAGGGGACATAGCAAGTTATACATGAAGAATTTATTCTACATTTTTCCTTAAAAATTATGCCCTATCTTGGGTCATGACTGTCCTTCTGTAGATGACATTTCTGAGCCTCCCTTGCAGATAGTGGTGGCCTTGTGACTCAGTTCCCACTGGAATCTGAGTGGGAGTGATGTCTGTCACTCTGGATCGGAGGCTTAAAATATCGAGCACGTGCTTCTCTCCTCTCTCCCGTGACCCACACTGGTACACAGTGACCCAGCTCCGGTCACGTGCAAGAGGATGCCCTAGACAAGAGGGAAGAAACCTTGTTCCTTGCTAGTCTGCATTGTTCACCTAAGCATTGTCATATGAGACAGAAATAAACTTAAAGGCTTTTGCAACACTCTTTTGGAGGATTTCTTTGTTACCATAGTTAAGTCTTGACCCTAACCAATTACAGCCATTCATAAATTCAGATTGTCTGCCAGGTAACGCAAAGTGTAGTGAGCACCTACCAGGTGTCAGACTCCATCCTGGACTTGTAGGCTCCCTTGCCTAGGCCACCAGTCAGTCATCGATACACTACTGCTCATGCAGTATCCGTGGCTTCTTGACAAGCTTGCAGTCTCCCATCTATACCAGTGCCTGCAAAATCATACAAGTGGTGGAACTGGAAATGGAACCCAGGACTGGCTGACTCTAGAACTGTTTATCTTTCTATTTATAGATGCTGGATTTTGTAACTAATTTTCAAACATAGGAAAATCTCCCAGGAATGTGAACTTTTTCTTTTTTTTTTTTTAACATACCAGACCTGTTTATTTTGCTTTTCCTATTAGATGTCAAAATTATTTTGCCAATATTTTGATAACTTGAGTCTTTGATATAACTAAATAAAAGCGTGGTATGCCTGATGCCAATTTAAATTCATATGCATAGGTCCTGGTAATTTTCCATATACTTCAAGTAAAAGTTGAATTTTTAATAAAACAATATTTTAGGCAAGTGAATCCAATGGATACTGGGTAGAACACGTCTTTTTACTTTATAATAAATGATGTCCAGCTGGTTCCCAACTTTACTAATATCAGAGAAGAGAAACCCAACAAAGGAATAATTGCCTAATTTTGAGGTATGAGGATATGTTCTAGAAATACTCACTCACTAATTTGTTTAATAATATTTATTGAGGTCCGACTACATCCCAGGCACTCTGGTAGACACTGGGGTCAGCATCAACAGCCCGGGAGCCTATCTCTGTGTTGTTCATAGACTAGAGTTGGAGGGCCTCCTCCACATGAGGTACTGTGCCACACTCTGCAGAAACAAGGGTAAACAGCCTAGGCAAGTCCTTTCCCTCATGGGGCTTACAGTCGAGTATAATCTCCTTTAAGAAGGTGCAATCTTTTAGGATAGGGTGTCTCCGTCAGCTCAGGCTGCCATAATAAAATAGCATAGACTGAGTGGCTTAAACAACATGCATTTATTCCTCATAGTTCTGGAGGCTGGAAGTCTGAGGCTAGTGGGCCAGTATGGTCGGGTTCTGGTGAGAGCTCTCTTCCCAGCTTGCAGATGGCCGCCATCTTACTGTATCCTCATATGGTGGAGAGAGAGCAAGTAAGCTTTCTGGTGGTCTCTTCTTAAGGGCACCAATCCCATCATGAGGTCCCCATCCCTATGACCTCAGCCAAACCCAGTCATCACCCAAAGGCACCATCTCCAAATACCACCACATTGGGAGCTGGGGCTTCAACATATGTATCCTGAGAGGAAATAATTCAGCCCACAGCAAGTAGTTTTCTCTCTTTCATCATGAGTATTCTGCTACCGAAGCAAGAAGCATGCTGTTCTCTTTTTGGGACACTCTCTTTGCACTCACAGTGTCAATTTCATCTGGTTAACTCCACTTGTTGGTAGTTCAGTCTTGAACATTTTACAGATCTTAGCTGGAGGGTCACTTCCTTAAGTGAGCCTGCCATGAACCCTTGTCTTCATAAGGTTTCTTTTCTATGATCTCATAAAACTGGATGTATTTCTTGTTTTGCTTATCTTATATCATAACTATACCTTCATCTGTGTAATTATTTGATTGTCTCTCTGAGAGTAAGGACTGTTCACTTTAATTCATCAGCCTATCTCCAGCAGCTAGCACAGTTCACGGATTAAAAAACACTTGTAAATACTAATTGTTGTAACTTGTTGAATGAATGGATGAAAGGTGAATGTATCATTGTCTTTACATTGGCACTGCTCTATTCTGAAGACTATATCACTTTTTATGATTGGTGTTGGTTCTTATTTTACCTTTTAGGTCATAGATGTCTTGTGAGTAATGCTGAATAGACTATTCAAGAAACCAGGTGCTTCTTCTTTGAAATTCTCATTGTCATAAGGGAAGTTGAGACAACAACTCCTCCAGATTCTCATTTTGCCTACAACTTGATGCCACCTTGTGTCCAGCCTAGCTCTTGATGCCTCCAGGATTTGCTTCCCAAGCAGTTGTTCGGGGCTCCTTTACACGGCATGTCTGTGATCTGAATTGTCCATGATGGCTTTTAGCCTTGGAAGGCTGCCGCAGCACAGAATTTCATTCCTCCCTCATGTATCCTCTGAGCTATTGTCTGAGTTTGGACAGCAGCAAATTAGTCATCTCTGGACAGGGGGTAAGCCCACAAGAACAAGGGAATGAGAAGATCAAAAATGTAGCAGAATCACAAGAAAAACGGCGAGAAAGGCACGACTCACAGAGCAGAAGCCATTTCTAGGGGGATGGACAGCAATTACATAAATGTTCAGAAACAGCGATGTGAGGCGCCAATGGAGGCTCTAATGTGGCCTAACCAGAGGTTTCTAACATACTCCACCCAAAGCAGTTGTACTGCTCTAGGATGCAGAAATTTGTGAGGCTACTGTGGAGGGAGAAGATTGACCCAGCTGGAAGAGAAGTGAGAAAGTGGTATATAAAGATACGCCCTGTTTTAACAGGGTTCCCCTCAACTACAACCAGACAAGTAGATTAAATACAAGTAGTTTTGGGGTGAATCTCAGGAGACAGCATAAGAAGGTGAGGAAGTGGATTTGAAAGGGTCAGAAGCCAATAAAGTGTGTGCTGTGAAGTCACCACTAAAGGCAACTGAGGCTCAGTCTTTACAGGGTAGTTTGGGAGATGGTGAATGAGATGAAATTGAGTTTTTAGATCCCAACTGTTTTAACATTGATAAAAGTGTTAGAAAACGCATTTCAGAGTGATGTTTGCAAAATATGGATCATATACCGAATATCAAGAGAATATATGGAACTCACAGCAGATTCAGATTTGAATGATTTCCTGAGTGCCAGGCACTGTGTCACCTTTCACAAAGATTTTTTGTTTAACCCTCACAATAATCTGGTAAAGTAGGTACAGTTGTCCCCATTTTTACATATAAAGAACCTGGAGCTTGGGGCCAGGCCAGTGGCATGGTGGTTATGTTCACACACTCCGCCTTGACTGCCCAGGGTTTTTGGGTTCAAATCCTGGGCGTGGACCTACACACCGCTCCTCAAGCTGTGCTGTGGAGGTGTCCCACATACAAAATCAAGGAAGATTGGCACAGATGTTAGCTTTGGGCCAATCTTCCACACACACACACAAAAAAGAAACTGGAGCTCAGAGAAGATAAATGCCTTACGAAATATGATACAGCTAGTATAAAGGAGATCTTGGATTATATTCAGATTTCCTAACTCCAAATATAGTGAGAGGCAAAAGAGAACATTGGAAAGAACAGGAGTTTTGGAGTCTTATTTTTGTTATACTCAGTTGATGGTCAGGAAAATATCCAAATCTCAACAACCAGTAATGGAGTGGGTATCTACACAGCAGAGCAGCTGCAGGCCAATACGTGGAACAGATTGTCTGCCTGCACATCAGCCCTGCATGTAACCTTGGACAAACTCCTTCACTTCTCTGGGCTTCACTTTCTTCATCTGTAAAGTGGGTATGTAATATCTACCATAAAAGCTAAACACTTTGTCCATTGTCAAGGCTAAATAAATTCAGTTCTATTGCATTCGTTCCAATGCACATATTTGATGCTCTAACACCTTGGTAAATTCTCAAATAAGTCTGTTCCTGTTGTAAATACCAACATCAGCAGTGAATAGGGCACGTCAAAGAAATCAACTACTTCCGCATACCTAAAGCTAGAGGTTAGTATTGAGAGAAACAACTACCACAACTTTATCGAACGTAAATGTAAAAGCTAGCATTTACACTTGTCTAAGTTCTTCCTTCAAGTGCCATGATAATGACATAATTATAACTAACTTATTTTTCTAGTTATTTTCATTCATTAATTCATCCATTATTAAATAGTTATCAAGCAGCTATTATATGCCAGGCACTGAGCCAGTCCTGGGATGGAGGCTCCAGTTCCTATCCTCCCAGATCTTAAGAGTCTGGTTGTGGAATCAGATGCTGACAAGAAGTGCAGCAAGAAGTATTATTTTATTTGTAACTCTAACAGAAAATAATGGACATGAAAGATGACTAATATTGCACAATAAAGATACTGAGGAAACCATTCTTAAATTAAATCTTTTAAAATGTTAACTGTTTCCAGAAAGAAATTACAGAGAGATGTTCTTAGCCCTTGTTGAAGGACAGGTTTCAAAGACTCTTTCAGACAAAATAATTTTAGTCTAAAAATCAACAGTATGACCTGCCATTAATTCCTTTAGATTGAATTCAATTCAATTCACCTCAGCTCAATTCAACTCAATTAAATTTAACAAACCTTCTTGGAGTATTGTATTAGTGTAGAAAGAAATGGTTCTTTCTCTTGGCACCCTAGACATTCGCTCCCCTTCCCAAGGCCCCAATAAGCTTTAGACTTGACTTCATTCTACCGCTTAATGAGAGCTCAGAGAATGACATAAGTGGCAACGCAACCTGCCTTAGTATACCAGCAGGAATGAATTGTTAAGTTTTGTGCTGTTGTTTTTGTTTTTTTTTTTTAAATGAATCAAGGGAGCAATTGACCTGTTCAGTTGAAAGCAGTTAGTAAAGAATTATGTTCTAGTCTTTTCTAGAATAGATGGTCATGATTGCTATCTCCATGCAGATTCTTTCTCTTTGAATTTGAATTTTGCATGATTTTCATTTTTTAAAAATGTCTATGTTTCCTTTATTTACTTTCAGCCCACTTCACCTTAAAAGTTAGCTTTAGAAATGTGAATGACTAACTCATAGTGTGCCTTTTAAAAGGGCCAGAAATGCCTAAGACAAGTAAACATGGGTTTTCAAGGAATATGGGCCCAAAAGTAGTCAGTGCTAACTGAAATTTCTATCCACTTATGAAAATTGTCTGCCTCTAAAGCTCTGGGGAAACTGAAGCAAAAGAAACTCCACCCCGAGGAT